ACTGCAACCAAGGTACGTGCCCTTAGTGGGAACCGAACCCGGGTCTCTCTGGACTACAGGCCAATGCTCTAACCGCTGTGCCAAACTGGCCAGGGCTTAGGCTAACTTTTGATAAGCCATTAAACTGAGCTGGCTGGATAACTCATTTCTGTGCAGATTTCAGGATAAAGCTTCTCCTGGCATTTCTGCCAAGTTGTTAAAACTCTTAATGTTTGCCCCTGCTTGTCGATGAAGCACAGTATTTTCTAATTACTGACTGAAACAAACTGCCGCAGAAATACACTGAATGCCGGCTCTCAGGTAAAACCATAACCATCACCTATAACTCAGGGCTTCAGAATTTTAGTCCATCAAAATGTCATCATTGTTCCTGCTGATTTACTTTGTAGTAAGTAAAGGTTATACGTTTTGAGTTATAAAATAAATTTGTACCTATAAAACATTTTTAAAATCCACTTTATCTTTCAGATAAAATTCAGGTAGCTTTTGTTTGAGGGTTTTGTCCAATGCTAAAAGAAAAAGTTTGAAAACCACTTTTCTTCATTGTGTATAGCTATGAGAGTGACAATCTGACCACAGGATCTGGTTGATCTGGAAACTTGGAGCACAGAGCGGGTCTCAGGAGGCTGGGCAACAGCTACTTTTCCTTTCTTATCTCCTTCCGGCTCTTCCACCTCTTCCCCTCCTCTCATCCCCTCCCTCCCTCCGCCTTCTAGGAGCCCACAACACAGTATAGATTCCAGCCAGACACCACTAACACCTTGGGGTTATTCACCTCTCAACCGAGCAGGAAAATGGGTGGAATCAGGCGTGGGGCCTGATTCTAAGAGATTCTGGGAGGATCAAAGAAGACCTCAGCAGGGAGGTTGTTTGAAACGTTAACACACTGCCACAGACGCCAGGACACAGGAATGCCCACTGTAGAGGTGGACTGCAGGGTTCTCCCCTCACCCTTGGGGCAGGGAGGAAAAGGGGGAGGTGCATCTAGTGCAAGGAGACCCTATCTTCTCCTCCAGCTAAAAAGGACCAAATGGGCCCTGGCTGGTGTGACTCAGTTGGCTGAGTGTTGTCCCATGCACTGAAGGGTGGATTCCAGGTGGGGGCACATACCCAGGTCCCCTGTCAGGGTGCATTCTCCCTCTCCCTTCCTCTCTCTAAAATCAATAAAAACATATATAATTTTAAAAAGGATCAAATGGTAGATCCTTAGATTTCATTCTGAAACAGCTGCAGAGCCTCTCGCCAGATAAATATAAGTGAATCAGAACACTTCTGGAGGTTTCCGGAGGCCCAGCTGTGGCCCCAGGGTAACTACTCTGCTTTTCCAGGGTCTTAACCACCAAAGCTGGAAAGCAGCTTCATGGGGTGGGGGAGGGTGCCTGACACAAAGCAGGTGCTCAGTCACAAACATATACACAAACACACGTGAACACAGAGCAGTTTTAAATTTCACCTCTGCCCGGAGGTGGCTGTGTGACTGCTGGCAAGTCACCCCACCTCTCCTTAGGCTTTCTTTTTCTTTTTTTTTTTCTTTATTGATATGAGAGAGAGAGAGGAAGGGAGAGGGAGAGAGAGATAGAAACATCAATGAGAGAGAACATCGATTGGCCACCTCCTACATGCCCCCTACTGGGGGATCAGGCCCACAACCTGGGCGTGTGCCTGGACCTGGGAATCCAACCTACAACCTCTTTGTGCATAGGTCCACGCTCAACCACGGAGCCCACCGGCCGGGCTCCTTAGGCTTTCTTGTCCATGGAATACTATTAATCTCTCAACATCTTCAATTTTGCAGAACTGCCCCCCCCCACTACAATTCCGGCCCTTCCAACTGGTCTAAGCACTGAGGGAAGCCACAGGCGTTCCCACTCCTGGCTGTGTGATTTACAGGCCCTTTCCCTTCCTGGTGTCCCTATAACACGAGGGAGGCTCAGCCACACTTTGGCCTGGCTGCCCAGAGCAGGGGACGTCTGTGGGGAGGAGACCAAGCCCCCCCCCTTCCCCCCCCGCCAAGGAACAACACTAGAGCCTTTGTCCCTTTGTGGGAGCAGGTCTCCCAAGGTGGAGGGTGAGGGAGGGTTGGTTGGGTTTGAGGGCAATATCTGGGTGGTCCTGGATTTTCCAAAACAGAGGGGGCAAAGCTAGAGGGCAGGGTTGGGGGACTACTGCCTCAAATCTGGTTGTTGTTGGTTCTACCCTGGGGACAGGCTGGTACTTCCTAGTCAGGTGACAGCCTGGCTCCAGGATGGACTTTGGTCCCAGCCCACAGGAATGCTGGGAAGTCAGTTTCCTTAACTGCTTGTAGGGCTAGCAAAGAAATTTCGCTAAGCTGAATAACCATGAATCCAGAGAACAGGGCTGCAGGCTAGCCCTCCCCACGCAAGACCTCTCTAGGTATCTTAGAAGCATGCCTATCCATTAGGTCAGGGGACAAGAGGGCAAGCTGGCAGATACTGGCCTGAAGTGATCCAGGTTGGAGATGGGAGGTGAGATTGAGTGTTGTAGTTAGGAACACTGAAGGGAATGGAACCTGGACCTCTTTCCATCTCTACCACCTTCCTCCACCTTCCTCTCCTAACCTCCAAATCAGGGGACCCAATTTATGGGTTAACTCCTGGGCATTCTGATTTGAGGTGAACCTTCAGTGAAAGAGTACATTAGCCACTGGCAGGGCCAATTTCATGGGTGTAGGCACACATTGTCCTGTTCCTGGAATGGTTCGTGTTTGGTTGAATGCTCTGCTGTTGCCCTCTTGAAACTTTTAATACTTTTTAAACAAAAGGCCCTGCATTTTCATTTTGTATTAAACTCTGCAAACTGGGAAGATGAGGGTGCTAGAAAGGTTGGTAGGGGCAAGACTAACCAATACTCCTCTCCTGACCACCCCTCCCAAAAGCCTTCCTCTCTCCTTTCCAGGTCTCAGCCCTGCCTGTAACACTTTTCCTTTGATATTCACCAACTGAGAGAGAGGCAGGGTCCTTAGAGCTAGTGTTGGGCTGGGTAGAGAGCATGAGGACAGGGCCATGTTGTCATTGCTGTGCATGATAGTGCTTGAGTCAGCTCTGGGATTGTGGGCTGGACCAGAATGAACGGCTATTAGATGGGAAACTAAGGCCCAGCAAAGACAGTTGTCTGCCGTAGGCCCCCCAGGTAGGAAGAGTGTCAGTGATGGCCCAGGTTTGCCACAGCTGAGTCCCTGAGGTCACTCAGAGGGCTAAGGCAGGTTAAGGAGCCACATTCTATACTCTAATCATCCTACAATATTATAGTGAGTGCTGTCTATACTATGCCAGGGCTGACTTGGCTGAGTGCCTCACACAAATGGGTCTTTGCCCTCCTTAGAGACCAGGACTAAGAGAAAGCTACCTGACCAGGGTCAGGTTGAGTGACTAAGACAAACTCTAACTGGTGGAGTGATGATGCCATTCTGGGGATCCAGGGAAGGGAGTCCAAGACCTCTGAACCCTAGGGTAATTTCTAGCCCCTGGGGACTAGGCACAGACAAGACCTAGATTGCTGGTCTTGGCTCCTCTGCTGCTAACCACTTCTGTGCTCTCAAAAAATCACTGTTCCCTCCTGGCCTCAGTTTCCCTCCTGTACTATAGGGAGTAACACTGCCTGCCCTGCTTCTCTCTTTGCTTGTTGTGGGATTAAGTGATATAAAAGAAATTGGTAGGCCATAACAAAGAGCCAGAGGCCTGGAGGAAATTAGACAGCCTTTTCTTGATTCTTTTCTTTTCTTTTATTATTATTATTATTATTATTATTATTTTTTATCCTCACCCGAGGGCCATTTTTTGTTCAGATAGAGTGGGAGAGAGAGAGAGAAACATTGATGCGAAAGGGACACACAGAGTGGCTGCCACCGGCACGACCAACCAGGGCCAGAGATAAACTGCAACCGAGGTAGGTGCCCTTAGCTGGAACTGAACCAGGGTCTCTGAACCGCAGGCCGATGCTCTAACCGCTGAGCCACACTGGCCAGGGCGATTCTTATAGGCTTTCTTCCCTACCAGTTTCCTCAGTCACTTCTCATCTACAGAGGATCTCAAAGCACTTCAGCATTGTTAGTTTATGAAGGCCCAGATGAGCCCAATCAGTGTAGAGCATCTCAGTGGGAAACCCAGACCCCGCAGGGCAGGGGTGTCTTCCGGTCTCACAGCCTAGCCCAAGTACAAACTGAGGCACTGTTCTCCTCATCCCCCTCCCCCAGGGGATTTGGATCCCAGCTCCACAATGAGAAGTGTGGGAAGCTGGGGAAAGGTGTGCTGAAGGCCAGGAAAGGGGCAAAGAGGTGAGTCCTAATGGGCACATGGGAGAGGAATGTCCATTGTCCACCACAGGCCTCAGGCGCTTCTGAATCCTCAGTCTCTAGAGCAAAACTTCCAATACTGTCTGGGTCCTGGAAAGAATTCTCAGAATTCCCTTATTCCAGGTTAAAAAATTCCAGAATCCCCCATCTCTTCCCAGACCAAACTCTAGGACACCGAGCTCTCCAGGGGTCCAGCCCCAGCCTCTCTCTTCCCTTTCCCTGAGCAACCCCAAACCTCCCACAACCGCCAGAGCCTCCCTCCAGAGAACAGAGCCCCCTGTAGTGGCCCCGCCGGGACAGAACCTCAGTACTGCCCCCTCCGGACCCGCCCGCGACCCCGCCCTCTCGGTCCTGGGCAGTTCGCGCGACCCCGGGGCTCTGCCGCCGCCCCTCGGCCCCAGACCTCGCCCTCCTCCAGCCCCGAAGCGCCCCGGCTGGAGCGGCGGGGAGGGGCTGCTGGCAGCACCGCTCCCGCCCCGCGGCCGCTCCCTCCCCAGGCTCCTTCCCTCCGGGCGCCCCCGCGCCCCGCCCGCCGCCGGCCGGCCGGCCCCTCCCGCTCGCTCCTCGCTCGCTCGGCCTCCGCCGCCCAAACTTTTCTCCCGGCGCGTCTCCCGCGGCAGCCGCCCGCCCCACGCATGGGCGCCCGGCCGCAGGGGGCCTGACCCGCCGCAGGTCCGCCCGCCGCGCCATGGCGGCCCGCGCGCCCCCCGCCGCACCTGCGGCCGACGAGCCGGGTGGCCCCGGCGGCCCCCCGCGCAGGAAGAAGTCCCGCTCCGGCGCGTCCGGCCTCCGCCGCGCCTTCAACTGGCTGCGGGGCAAGCGGCGCAAGAAGAAGGCGGCGGGGGCCGAGGGTGCCGAAGCGGCCGCCCCCCGGGCCAAGAAGGCGGACGACAAGGCCAGGAAGGCCAAGGGCAAAGGCCGAGGTAAGGCGCCGGGCACCTGGGCTGGGCGCTGGATGGCGTCCAGGTTGCGGCCAGGGTGTCTTCGCCGGGGGTCCGCGCCTGGTGGAGGCGGGTGAGCCCAGGCGCTGGGGCTGGGGCAGTGAAGGACCCAGGGCTCAGCCCAAGCCACCCCATTCTGCGCTGCCCCCGCAGCATTTTCTAGATTCAGCCTTGCCCCACTCTAAAGAGGGTGAGGGGGGACCCTCGGCTAGGGCAGGGATCTCTGGCTGAATCACAAAGCGCTGGCAGTCTGGCGCTTGGATCGGTGGGGCAACCCCCCATCCCCCAGGCTCACCCAGGTTCTGCCTTCTGCTGAGTCAGGGGTTCAGAGATTGAGTCTGGCCTGGGGCCAATAGGAGAGGCTAGTGGCCCTATAGCTTTGGGGTGGGGGGCGTCCCTCTGGCTCTGGAAGGTCAACTGCACTCAAAAAGTGTTTGAGCTGGCTAGGTGGATCTGGGTTTTCAGCCTCACAAAGGACCCATCGTGGAACATATGCTTTAGGTTCTTAAAAGCTAACAGTGTAGCTTTTCCCACCTAGTCCCTCTCACCATTCACCTGGGCCAAACCACACACATCCACTTTCTGGGGTGGTGAGCTGAGGATGTGAGCCAGTCGCCCCTCCCTTTTACTCCTTCCCTCAGCCCTGTTAGAAACATGCCTGTGTTGGATGTGTGCTTACAGATGGGGGGAAACTGAGGCCCAAGTCAACTGAGAGGCTGTACCTGGGCTGGGCTGGGTATCTAAAATACAACAGCTGATTCCCTGCCTCTGGGCTCCCTCTGCCTGATGAATGGGCAGCCAGAAGGGAGGCTGACCTGGCCCATCCTAGCTGGGGTCACTTTTCTTTTGGCCACTTGCTTGGTTCCTCATTTCCCCCTATGTTTTTGATCCTCGTTTGATGGGGAAGGCATGAGTCTCTGCAAGAGAGTGGGGTTCCCTTGGGGCTCGCCAGTCTAGCTTTACCTTGATTCTGCTGCTTTGCTGAAGGTGAGGAAATGGCGGTGTGTACGGCCCATCCCATTTTGCCCATGTTTACCCTCCCAGTGTCCTTTAACCATCTCCTCTGGAGGAGAATTAAAGGAACATTTTAGGGATCCGGAAGAGGGTTGAAAAGCCTCTTGTGTGATTGCATCTGGCCTGATCTTCCTTTTGGATGAGAGCCTGCTCCCCTGCAGCCCAGCCACAAGTAGAAGTCAGGGTGCTGGGGCTAGGATGGCTGGGCTAGGTTCTGAGGAAGGGCTTGATGAGGGGTGTTTTCAAGTGCTCTGCAGTTCCAACAGGACCAGGGGTTTGTCCCAGGGCTGCCCCACTGGGATTCAGTCTGAAGTCATCTCTGTCTCACTCAAGAGGCCATGGATCAGGCCAAGAGGCATGGATCAGAATTGCAACAGGATGGATTGTGGTCAGACTGTCAGTATTGGATCAGGCTAGTGGTATACCCCACGACAGTGGGCCCTTTTCAGGGAGGCCCGCCTGGAGGCAGAAGTTGGGAAAGCTGACCTGTAGGTCCCTGCTCCAACAGCTTGGGTTAAAGGTCATTGGGTCAGTGGCCAGGCTGCCCCCTGCCTTGTGTTTTGGTATCAGGTAGTACTGGGCTTTCCTGGCAGCTGGTCAGCTGATTTGAGCCCACGTGTAGGAAGCACCTCCCCTGTCCCTGGCTGTTGTTTCCACAGGTCTGGGGGTGGCCCCAGGTACAACTGGAAGAAGTCCTGCTCCTTTTTGCTCCAACCTTCTATTATTCCAGTTGTTTTCTTATCACCTGCCTGGCTCTACTTCTTTACTGTTTATTAAGAGAAATAAATCCGATCTTTCAAGTCTCCACTGGTCCGGAAGGGGAAGCCCAAAGAAGGCTTAACTCATAGGGGAAAATGTTCAAGTGGAGACTGGGGGAGATGGGGAGGAGGGATACACAAAAAATTCCTGGGACGTTGGCTTTTGCCGGGAAGGCCATTATCTCCCCTATTACATTCTCGGAACCAAGGACCCAGAGATGCAGGTCTTGGCTCCCCTAATCTGAGTCCCTTACTATAAAATGGGAAGACTGAGTTTGGAATAGAATTTTGAGCACCTGTCTTCCAGAACTTCCCTGCTTCCCTCACTGGCCTGCACAGACTTATAAAGAAAAGAGAGGAGCCCTGGCTAGTTTGGCTCAGCAGCTGAAGCGTCAGCCCGCAGACCAGAGAGTCCTAGGTTCAGTTCCCGCTAGGGACACGTACCAAAAAAAAAAGAAAAAAAGAAAGAAAGAAAAGAGAGGAAATCTGACATTTATTAGTTATTCTGAATGTGTCACGAGGCCTATATCCATTATCTCATTTGTAGATGAAAATTGAGACTCAGGGACAGTGAGTAATGATTTGTTTTAACCAGTGTGCCACAAGAATTTTTTTTCCTTATTGATCTTTAGAGAGACAGAAAGGGAGAGGGAGATAGGAACATCGATGAAAGAGAACATTGAGCCCTGGCCAGTTTGGCTCAGTGGCTGGAGCGTCGGCCTGTAGACCAGAGAGTCTTGGGTTCAGTTCCCGCTAGGTGCACATATCCAAAAAATAAAAATAAAATAAATAAATAAATAAATAAAATGAATGAATAAATAAATAAAACATCGATTGGCTGCCCCTCTGCATGCCCCCCACTGGGGATTAGGCCCACAACCTGGGCATGTGCCCTGACCAGGAATCAAACCGGTGACCTCTGGGTGCATGGGTCGATCAGTGCTCAACCACTGAGCCACACCAGCTGGGCTGCAAGAATATTTAAAACATGCAATATTCAGTCAGAGGCACTGACCTCTTTTCCCTTAGATTGTCAAATAAAAAAACTACAACAGCCAGCACAACAGTAGTTACCCTATGTGAGTGAATCAAAATTATACCTATTGTTTTGTCAGATTGCAAAACAATATATTTTTTGGTGTGCCGCAGAATTTTAGTAATTAGTGTGCCATGAGATAAACTAATTTTAGTAATTAGTTTATCGCTGGCCTAAACTAGGATTTGAACTCAACGCATCTGCCTCCCAAACTGGTACTGTTTCCATAACACTCTCAAGGACATGGACCAGTGGGTAAGGCTTAAAGATATTCTCACCCAACCCATTCTGCAGATAGGAAGGGCCCAGAGAGAAGTGAGGGAATCGATAGAGTGGGAAGAGTATCAGTTAGGCAAGTCCGAGTTCAAATTCTGGCTCGGCCACTAACAAGCCCCTTGACATAGGGCAAGCAACTTCTTTGTGGCCTCGCTGATTCTATTACTGTCTCAGGAAAGAGAGGGGATATTGCCTTGATGTAGCTATGACCTTTCTATTTCTCCAAGATTCTCACAAGAGTAGTTGTGAAGATTATATGAAAGTGAGGTCGCCATAGAAATGCAAGGGATTGCTATTATTGTGTTTATAAGTTTAATAACCTACAATCGGAGGACCCAGTCTGGAAGGAATGGGCTCTGGGGTTGATTGGACAACTCTGCTGCCTCGGTCTGCTCCCTCAGACACCCGGCAGGTTATTAACCCCTCCAAGCCTCAGTTTCCTTATCTTTAAAATAGAGATAATAAATCCTGGCATTGCAGGGCTGTTTCAAAGATCCAATTAGATAACAGACATGCAAGTGCTTTGTGAACAGTGGAGCATGGCCCAGACAGTAGCAGGTTTCTCTGGTTGTGATGCTGAGGACTTGGCATTAGCTAAGTTCATCCTGATCCATGTTTGGAAAACAACTCACTTGGTCACACCTCACATACCTGTGGTGATAATGATTACTGAGGGGGGATCCACAGAAGGTGGAGTCCTACCTTTGTCCAACAGGAGGATGCAGGCTCAGCAGTTAGAGCATTGGCCCAGGGATCAAAGAATCCCAGGTTCGATTCCAGTCAAGGGGTTCGTCCCTGGCCCTGGTTGGGGTAGTGTGGGAGGCAGCCAATCAATGTGTCTCTCTCATGTAGATGTTTCCCTCCCTCCCTCCTTCCCACTCTATCTGAAGATGGAAAAAAAGTTTCCTCTGGTGAGGATTTAAAAAAAAAAGGGTAAACAAACAGGAATCCATACTTTCCAGAAATATCTTCTGGTCTCTAGACAAGTGTAGGAAGGAAGTGTTTCTGGGTCAGATGTCAGAACTGGAGCCCAGTAATCAGGGGAGGCTTTCTGGAGGAGGTGAGCAGGGTGTGGAAGAAGGACAGGGTGCTGGCTAATTTGAAGAAGAGAAGTAACATGAAGGTTCTATGTGCTAGACACTCGCCAGGCATTTTCATGAATGTTTTTCCTGTCCTCAAAACAACCTGGGAGATAGGCATTTATTACTATTTATAGGTGAGGAAATAGGCCCAGAGGGGGAAAGTAAGTTGATTCAGGTCACTCAGCTTCATTCACTTGAAAAGACATATTCTTTACTAAATAGTGTTAAGCACTATTCAGGGTAATGTGAATACCTGGGCCAAGTCAGGCCAAGACACCTGCTTGGAAGTTATGTCACAGCATGGCAGTGACAGAAGCACTCATTCTGCTACCAGATGTTACGCTCTCCCAACAAAGCAATGTGAGGTTGGATGTGTTTTTGCTTCTGGAGAGGAGTAACCACTGTAGCGTCTTAGATAGGACCCACTTTGGGGAACGGAGTTTGCAGCACTCCTGAAGGTTTCGTTTGGGGAATGGGCAGTGGCTGGGGGTGGGAGTGGGATGGCTCCTGTACTGACAGTGAGAATTCAGGACCATCTTGCCAGGCCCAGCAGATTGAACCTGAGGCATTCTGGCCACTCTTGGAGAACTGCCCTTGGTGTGGGGTTGTGGAGACTCCTGAGGTTGAGTTCTGCTCTGCTGTATATGACCTGGGGCAAGTCATGCCGTGTCTTGAGAAAGATAGGGTCTTATGGCCTCTGAGATCCTTTGTAGTTCTAGAATTCTGTGGGTCCAAGAATGGGCTGAGGAGCAAGCTGGTAGGGTCTTGGGGGATGGGGGTGGGAACTATGCCCAAGAAAGGAGAGCCTACCTTTCT